AATAATATTTTTAAGAGTTTGATAACCCAATGATATAATACATATTAACTAAACTGATCTGATTACATTTGATTTCATCTAATCTCTTTTCCTTCCTCATCTCTACTTTTCTTTTCCAATTTCAACTCATCTCTTAAGCCAATCGACGATGTTTAGGCAGATACTTTCTCAAAATATCTCCCTATCTGGAGAAAACGAAAAAAAACGACGTAAATAATAACCCAAATGATAATAATACTTTTTAAAGTTTGAGAACCCAATGATATATTACATATTAACTAAACTGATCTGATTTCATTTGATCTCATCTTTTCTTTTCTTTTCTCATCTCTACTTTTCTTATCCAATTTCATCTCATCTCTTTTCCTTCCTCATCTCTACTTTTCTTTTCCAATTTCATCTCATCTCTTAAGCCAATCGACGATTTTTAGGCAGATACTTTCTCAAAATATCTCGCCATCTAGAGAAAACGAAAAAAACGACATAAATAATAACCTAAATGATAATAATATTTTTTAGAGTTTGAGAAACCAATAATATATTACATATTAATTAATCTTGATCTCATCTCATCTCATCTTTTCTTTACTTCTCTTCTTTTATCTTATCTTTTTTCATCTTATCTCCTCTTATGCCAATCGACCATTTTTAGTCAGTTACTTTTATTTCCAGTCGAAGTGATTACTGAAGTGGTTTGAATGTTGATCTCACCAGAAGACGCCGGATTCTTCACGGCCATCGGTCGTTTGGCTTTACTGGAGTAAATTGTTGACGCTGTTTCAGACGCAATCTCCTTCGATTCCGGTGAAGATGTGCTGACCTTTCGTCCGCTGTCGGATGGACATTATCCGAGCAGATGGTATCATCTTTACAATGTTGTTCAATGCTGAATAGTACCGTAAAGCTAAGCTCTTTGATGAGATATTAAGTGATTCGACTATTTCGAGTTATCGTCAATCTGAAAGCATGTGAGTGTGTCTGTATGTGCCCGAATGTCTTTGCATATCTACAGAAATAGCAGTCATGGCTCAAAGCAATTCGAGCAAATAATCGTAGATATGAAGACCAAGATGGTGTGGCCTTCTGTTTGGTCGCTTTATATTCTTGGTTCGACCTTGTTTTCGCAACTTGGTCGAAGCGTCAGGGAGACCTTCTCTTCTGCCAGAGCAATCGTGATTTCCACATTTGGACCATTGGCTGGGCACAATCCCAAACAGCAAAATCACAGTTCGTTTGTCTGTCTGAGATGTGGCTGCCTAAGAGCCCTGCATTCGCGTCCTCGATTACGCCACACTCGAGCAATCAGAGCAGATGATGCCCATGCACATGGCACCGACTGGGACTCTTCCTCTTCATAGCCTTCAGACACATGACTCGGTGTGAAAAAGTGACGCTTCCCTTGTTTCCTTTGAATCGCGAAAAACACACTCCTCCCGTCGCTCGAGTCGACAGTCCCATCTAAGCCTAGGCTACTGGGAGGATGTTCCAGCATTCGGCTTAACATTACATTCTTTGCTTTGTGACTTTGATTGGGAACGAAATTAGGCATAGAGCCGACGTCAACATAAATGCATCAAAGTGTCTTCTTTAAGTGTTTATTTTTAATTAACCATATCTAAATTAAGTATCAGTTCGAGGCTGAAGCACAGAACTAGCTGTCATAGCTCTAGGAAGCCAGTTATTAGAGTTAGTTGAAACATGATTAAAGCCGTGAGCAACAAAATATTGGTTGTGTTGCTGCATTTTTCCAGGTGGCTCAACACCCCATCAATGGTGTATCGGTACTACTCACTCAACTTCTTTTCACTATTCCATATTCTGTCGAGCTAGCTCCAACTTTCAGGTCAATTTGTGCCTGTTTGTGTGTGTGTTTGTGTGTGTGTGTGTGTGATGATGAGGTTCGAAGTTTGATCTCTTCAGAAGACGTCGACGGAGTACTTCGCTGTCCTATGCTGGTGGGAAGATTGATGTTTCAATCACTTCATCGCATAATTTCATTCGAAATGGAAGCTAGTTCATCATTTCTAAATCACAAGACTCTTTCAACCCAACTGGACTTTGCATGTATTTTGTATGTATTTTGCCAAATCGTTTGATGACGATGGTCTGACCGATTTGGCCGTTGCATGCAGACCTGAAGTGAACAGGAAAACAGGAAAACAGCACAATTGAGCGAATTCATCGACAATCGAAGCTCGTCGTGGTGATGATAGTGACGATGAATGTGTGAAATGTGATGAAGGACTGGCAGTTGAATTAATCCACAATCTGATGAGTAGGCCACTGGATTTCACACAGCTTTGTCTCCCAAAGAGCATCCTCATTCTGGCCTGAACTCGTCTCGTCTGCATCTCCAGCCGGACTCGAACCAGGGTTTTGTTAGTTGCAAATCTCAACCAAGGTCAGGTATTTTCCCATATCACATTCCCTGGTGGGATTGTCGATGGGGAAAAGTGTGTTTTTTTCCCACAATGCTATGAGGTTAGCTGATGTTTCTGTTCAATTTCCCAGTATTCTCATCAAGCCTGAAGTGGACTGCAGTTTCGACCTCGCATCAACTCGTCTTGTCAACAGCCCCAGTGGGATTCGAACCGTGAGCTTGACACATCAGCCACTCGGCCAAATTGCCTCGAGTGTCCTTGGGTCACAGGGCAGGTGTGAATTTCCTATTTTCCCATATCACATTTTATGCTGGGATGGCGGATGAAGCAAAGTCATCTTTGCCATAACAATCAACTGCGTTACTTTTTTCGCAAATCAGTTGTCCTGGTAACCTACTCATGTAAGAACAAAGTAATATCGTCGGTTGGCATAGCAAATATACGTTTTCTCTATTGTCACTCGCAACGTGGAATGTGATATGCAAAATGGCCAACATTGCCCGAAATTCACATCGGGCACTCGAGGCAATGTGGCCGATTGGCTGGGGCTGTTGATAAGATCAGTTGCTGCGAGGTCGAAAGTGCAGTCGACTTCTGCTTGGATGATGACAGCTTTTGGGAGAAGGAAGGACATGGGAAGGTCGGCTCTACTCATCCGATTGTGGGAAAGATGAAATAGTGTGAATACTGGTGGAGTGCATAATCCTGCCTTCTCTGCCGTGGTCTTGATGATTTTCAACATCGGACCATTCATTTGGTACATTCCACAACATTTCGCCGGCTTCGTGGTCGGCATTGTCTGTGAGAAGTGGCGTCGTCACATCGCAGATACAACTTGCCAATTCACTTTATTTTATTCACAATTTACTCATTACTTATTCTTCGTTAATAAGTAGTTAGGCGATCGAGACTAACAATAGATCTTTGCTCTGAAATGTGTTCAACATGACGATGAATGACTGTCGAGGAGGGAGGAGGTTGTGGCTGTGTGGTTTGTGTGTGTGTGTGTGTG